TTCTTTTTGATTGAGCTAATGATTTCGCTTACTATTTTTACTCTTCGACTGAGTAGATTATTTCGATTATACCTATGTTTTACAAATTGTAATTTTTTTTTTTTATTTAACTGAGCTGGTAATTTAAATTTTTTTTCTCGTTGATCGAGTTAGTGATTTCGCTTACTATTTTTACTCTTCGACCAGGTAGACTATTTCGATTATACTCATGTTTTACAAATTGTAATTTTTTTTCTATTTAACCAGACTAGTGATTTGCATTTTTTTTCTTTTTAATCGAGTTGGTGATTTTGTTTACTATTTTTTACTCTTTGACCAGGTAGGTGATTTCGATTATACCCACGTTTTACAAATTGTAATTTTTTTCTATTTAACCTGGCTGGTGATTTCATCAGCACTTTGCTTACTGTTTCTAAGTAAATTTTTTTTAAACTTTAAAATAAAATATTTCAGATATATATTGCATCTTCTGAAAGAATACATTGAATAAAAGTTGCACTACAATTTGCATTTTTTTTCCTCTTTAATTAAGTTTACTATTTTTACTCTTTGACTAGGTGGGTGATTTTGATTATATCTACGTTTTACAAATTGTAATTTTTTTTCTATTTAACCTGGCTAGTGATTTGCATTTTTTTTTTTCTGTGATTGAGTTGGTGATTTCGCTTACTATTTTTACTCTTTAACTGGGTAGATGATTTCGATTATACCTATGTTTTACAAATTGTAATTTTTTTTCTAATTAATCGGGCTGGTGATTTGCATTTTTTTTCTCTTTAATCGAGTTGGTGATTTCGCTTACTATTTTTTACTATTCGAACAAGTAAATTATTTCGACTATACCTACATTTTACAAATTGTAATTTTTTTATCTATTTAACCTGGCTAGTGATTTGCATTTTTTTTCCTCTTTAATCAAGTTGGTGATTTCGCTTACTATTTTTACTCTTCGAACAGGTAGGTTATTTCAACTATACTTCCTTTTTACAAATTGTAATTTTTTTTCTATTTAACCAAAATGACAATTTGTATTTTTTTTTCTCTTTGATCAAGTTGGTGATTTTGCTTACTATTTTTTACTCTTCGATCAGTAGGTGATTTTGACTATACTTACATTTTACAAATTGTAATTTTTTTTTTCTATTTAACCTGGCTGGTAATTTGCATTTTTTTTCTCTTTGATCAAGTTGGTGATTTCGCTTACTATTTTTTACTCTTCGAACAGGTAGGTTATTTCAACTATACCTATGTTTTACAGATTGTAATTTTTTTTTCTATTTAACCAGGCTAACAATCTGTATTTTTTTTTCTTTTTGATCGAGTTGGTAATTTCATTTACTATTTTTTACTCTTTGAATAGGTAAGTTATTTCAACTATACCTATGTTTTACAGATTGTAATTTTTTTTTATTTAACTGGACTGACAATTTGCATTTTTTTTCTCTTTGATCAAGTTGGTGATTTTGCTTACTATTTTTTACTCTATAAACAGATAGATTATTTCGACTATACCTATGTTTTACAAATTGTAATTTTTTTCTATTTAACCGGGCTTACAATTTGCAATTTTTTTTTTCTCTTTGATCGAGTTGGTGATTTTGCTTATTATTTTTTACTCTTTGACTAGGTAGATTATTTTGACTATACCTATGTTTTACAAATTATAATTTTTTTTCTATTTAACTAGGCTGGTGATTTGCATTTTTTTTCTCTTTGATCGAGTTGGTGATTTTGCTTACTATTTTTTACTCTATAAACAGATAGGTTATTTTGACTATACCTATATTTTACAAATTGTAATTTTTTTTTCTATTTAACTAGGCTTACAATTTGCAATTTTTTTTTTCTTTGATCGAGTTGGTGATTTCACTTATTATTTTTTACTCTTCGACTAGATAGGTTATTTCAACTATACTTAAGTTTTACAAATTGTAAGTTTTTTTCTATTTAACAGGACTTACAACCTGCATTTTTTTTCTTTTTAATCAAGTTGGTGATTTTATTTACTATTTTTTACTCTTCGAATGGGTAGATTATTTCCAGTGTTGACTAAACTACTGGTCAATTAAAAATTTGCTAGTTAATGGTTAAAGAGTCTTTGGTCAAACTGGTCTAATCAAATTGGTCAAATAGTTTATTAATTAATTATATAAATATAATATATATAAACATTTAACTTTTAATAGATTTATTTATATTTATATTATAATTAACAAATTTATTACTATAACAAATAATAAATATTTAATAAACTTAAATATTATAAAATCCCAAAAATAAGCACTACACCCTCTATGCTATTTTTTTAAATCTCAGATTAACAAGAATAACTTAAATAAAGACTTTATTGCTATTTCTGCTAATCTGAGGTCTAAAAAGTAGAGTAAAAGGTGTGATACTAGGATTTTACAATAGTTTATTTTTAAATCTTTTAAATATATCATTTTTTATTCACTAAAATTAAACATTTACAATATAATTAAATAGCTTATTTAAATCTTTAAATTAATAAATATTATTAAATTCTTGAATTAATAAATACAACTAAATTGTTAAATTAAATAGTAAATTTTCATAAACTTGAATAGCTTATTTTAAATTATTTCTAAATTTATAAAAAAAACCCAATGCACTACTTGAAGAATCAGTAATATAGTCAAACCTCTCTATGTGCACTCTCTATAAGTACATGCTCAAGTGCTGACCCAAATGTATACTTGACCTCTATAAATGCGCTTTTTCTTATTTCAGTATCCTCTATATGATACATTATTAAAGTGTGGTCCCAAGGGCATGCACTTAGAGAGGTCTGACTGTGACTGGTTTGATTTAAAAGCCTTAACAAAATAACTTAATTTAAATATTCAGATTAACTATTGTTCTTTATATTCAACCTAAATGATCATAAATAAATTAAACAATAATCAGAACTTGGAATGTTTATATTAAATTTTTAAATAGTAAATTGAAGCATATAAAATAAATCGAATAGTAAATATTTAGGTAGCTTATTTGACTAATAAATAATTTATACTTACCAAAATTAACACGTATAATAAAGTAAAATTAAATAGTGACATCCCTGAACCAGAATAGTTTATTTTAAATTCTTAGATTAATAAATGTCTTATATTCAAACTAAATTATCAAATTAAATAATGATACTCACAAACTTGATTAGCTTAATTTAAATTTCTTAGATCAATAATTTTTTTTTTTATGCCGGATATTCACCAAAATTAACGCGTATAAATAGAAAATATTCCTGGACTTGAATAGTTTACTTAAATAGTTTGAATTAACAAATATTCGTTATGTTCAAACTAAATTAAATAAAATCAAATAATAATATAAACTTGAATAGCCTATTTTATTACTCTTTACGATTTAGTTAGATCGAAATTTTGTAAGTTTTTTTTTTGCGTCCTATGAGTCCACGAACACAACATAAATAGCCGCCTTATGTTTATCACATTTATGAACTTATTTATCAATAAAAGAAAAATATATGAATAATTAAAATGAGTCCCACGAAAATGACGAAGTTTAAGTAACTACCATATTGTAATCACAGAACTTGCAGTTCAAAAAAAAATTATGAAGGTCAATCCAATTAAATTGAAAAGTCTTAGATTATAAAGTTTTTTTTTAACTCATCAAAATTAACACGTATAAAATGAAATAAATAGCAAAGAATGATATTTAAAATCCTTGGATTAATGAACGCTCTTTATATTCAAACCAAATGATTAGAAATAAAATGAAATTAACACAACTTGAAGAGCTTATTTCAAAATTTTCAAATTAATAAATATTTTTTATACTCACCAAAAGGTTATATTTCAACTGAAATGGATTGGCTCAACTTAACTCTAAAATCCTTATTATTAATGATTGAAAATTTTTACGTGTTTAAATTTTTTCTGGCTCTTCTAAAAAATTATTGAAATATAGTTAGCGTTGATAATTTAATAATTAATATCATTAAATATTTATCTCACTATATATAATAAGCCTATTTGCTCATTATGGGTAGTCTTATAGATTTAACACGAATCACTTTAAACAGAATTTGGATAGCACTAAAGTCAGATCTCCTTAGGTGCACGGATTATATAATTCTCTATAAATGCACAGTATAGTTCGGTTCTAGATTATAAGAGCTCTATATTTCTGTATTTTGCTCTCCATAAATGCAAACGTAAATTTTTAATCTTTTTTTATAGTTCCGAAAGGTGCATTTAGGAGAATTTATTCTGATATTGGTACTGGTCTGATTGGTCTGATTAGTCTGATTGGTCAAATTGGTCAAAATTAGTCAAATTAATCAAATTGGTCAAATTGGTCAGATTGGTTAGATTGGCCAAATTGGTCAAATTGGTCAAATTGATTAGATTTGTCAAATTGATCAAATCAGTCAAACTGGTCATAGGTTTGTATAACTATAAGGGTTGATCGCTATTGTGTAATCATATTAATGTACTTTTTTTTTCCTTTGGCTAGCACTAGCAACTTTTACATTGAGATCTAGACATATATAAAAATTAAGGAATAGAAAAAAATATTCAACGTATATACATACTGCAGTACTGTTGTTTGTACATACATACTTTATTAATGTGAACTTAAGTATTTTTATTAAATATTAAATAAGATCTATTAGGGTTTTTCTTAAAGCTTGATTCAATGAGAATGTATGAGCTACATAATCGTCATAATCTCTATATATACGGTCACTTAAAAAAAAGAGACCGACTTTTGAAACACCCAATATATTTTATTTCTGGATTATTAGCAGGATTGTGAAATTTAATATATTGAGGTGATACATCTTCCAAAATCATTTATTCATAATACTTACGCTTTTTTGCAATTAATCTTTCGATAGGCCCGGGAATAACATGTAAAGATCAATACCAGGGCACGAAACTCAAGATGGATATTTAATATCACCTTCCGTAAACAGTAACTATTAACTTCTGGTCAGGGTTAAACCAATTCTAACATCCACACCAAGAATAGCCAATTCCACTACGAGAAACAACCCATTTTCGCAACCTGATCACTCTTCTTCCTGACATTTTTATAATAATTTCTAAATTCTATTATTTACATTTTTATACTCATAGTTAGCCCACATTATGCAGATAGAAAACTGCTAGCCAACGTAAACGCAATGGCTTACGGTGATTCTTGGTACAACCTCAGTCAAGAATCTTGAAATCACATAAATTTGATATATAAGCTTGCTTAAACCAGAATTTCAAATATTATTATTTATATTTTATTCATGATAAGCTATTAATTAAACTTAATTTTAGACCAGTCAATAACCAGTCAGTAACTTGTTTAAATTTAAAATTTTTGATTCTCGAGAATCTATAATTTTTTAATAAGAAACTCATAGTAATGCCGCCGAATTATCATAATTATTGTGGTTTGCAAAAAGGTGTAATCTTGTGATTTCATAATGATAATAGTGAAAAAATTTCTGAGATTTTAATTCTCTATTTATATTAATTTTCAATCAATAACGCTTATATTTTATTCGAAATCTTTTAAAATTTTCCAAGAATCAAAAAATCTGCTAAAATTGGCTGATTTTTCGATAGCATCATGATCTGCAAAGATCACACCTTTTTGCAAACCGCTATAATATACAATAATTTTACAAGATTAATGTAAATGCTGAAATTGTTCAAATTACTATGATTTTTAATTTTAGACCAGTTAATAACCGGTCAGTAACCTGTTTAAATTTCTATTACTTTTAATAAGAAACTCATAGTAAGCTAAATTATTATAATTATTAATAATACGAGATCAATGTAAAACTGAAATTAGTCAAATCACTAACCAATTTTTGATTCTTGAGATCTATTACTTTTTAATTAATATACGATAATCTCACGAGATCAACGTAAATGCTAAAATTGTTCAAATCGCTAATAAACACATATGTACAATTTTTAATTTTAGACCAGTTAATAACTAGTCAGTAACCTGTTTAAATTTAATATTTTGATTCTCGGAATCTATTACTTTTAATAAGAAACTCATAGTACTATTACTAAATTATTATAGCATTAATCACAAGGTCAATATAAATACTAGAATTGTTCGAAGCACATGGATATACGTATGTATATACGTATATATATAATATTTATTTATATGATAAAATATTGATCTTTTTAATATATTTATACAAAACTCTGTAAGTATTATCTTCAATATTTACTTAGCAATAAAAGCGCCAATATAGAATAGTACAGGTTGAAAGATAAGCAAATAATAATATCCGATATCAGCTTGTGGTTTTCTACTCACATAAAGTAAACCAGCTATTATTCAGAAGTTTTTTAAGAATTAGTGATATCTAATATCAGATAGTAGTTCTCTACTTAAAAGCAGGTTGACTTTAATTTCAAAAGATTTGTGAAAATGGCAGGATTCAACTAAATTAGATGCGAACCTGTGTCGTGTTCTTGGGATAAAGTGGCTACTTGGCGTTCTCTTCATTAATTGCATCATGGTTTCTAAAACAAGCAATTTATTTACCCCGTTCAATCTTTGTTAACATTGTTGTAAACAGGCTTCAGAAGTTGTCAGTACTGATTAGCTATTATGATTTAGTTTTCATTTAGCAGATGTTTTCGCAGCTACTCTCATATTAAAGCGCAAGTATATCACTGCTTAGGTTGCTTTTCGATCTGTTGACCTTCTATCAACTTATTTTTTATTTTTTATTTTTTTTAATTCAGCAGTCTTGCCTTCACTTTATTAGGCTTTGTAATAATTATTTAAACTATTAAAATTTTCTAAAGAGTTATTCTCTCCAGTACCTAAATTACAAATAAAAACTCACCTGGTTGTTCATTAAGTACCTATGTGCGACCTGCTATAGTAAGAATTGCCTCTGTATTACCTTATCCTGCAATTGGCTTCGATAATACGTC